GTCACTCTATCTCTCTCTCACCCGCTCACCCTCCCTACCTCTCCACCGTCCGTGTTCCACTCCCCCTCTCTCCCTGACCTCTGCACGTGTCTCTCTCTCTCTGTCCCTCCCTCCACTTTTCATCTATCTTTCTACGCCTGTCTCTCTCACTCCCTCTCCCTCTCCCTCCCACTCCTCAGTAGGTGCCCCGAGGACCCGAGGGAGTGAACAAGGAGGGACACGGAGGAGGAGGAGGGAGACGCACCAGGAGGAGGAGGAGGCGGAGGGACCTGGAGGAGGAAGAGGGAGACGCACCAGGAGGAGGAGGCAGAGGGACCTGGAGGAGGAAGAAGGAGACGCACCAGGAGGAGGAGGCGGAGGGACCAGGAGGAGGAGGGAGAGGGACCAGCAGGAGGAGGAGGAAGAGGGACCAGCAGGAGGAGGGGGAGGGAGAAGGACCAGCAGGAGGAGGGGTAGGGAGAGGGACCAGCAGGAGGAGGGGGAGGGAGAGGGACCAGCAGGAGGAGGAGGGAGAGGGACCAGGAGGAAGAGGGACCAGCAGGAGAAGGGGGAGGGAGAAGGACCAGCAGGAGGAGGAGGGAGGGGGACCAGGAGGAGGGGTTTCGGGAGGAGGAAGGGAGCAGGAGGAGGAAGGAGGGAGAACCGGGGGAGAGAGAGAGCCCAGAAGGAAGGAGGGAGGGAGGAGGCAGACGCTGGAGGAATGCAGACTGGGAAACAGTTGCCTGCGCCCCCAGCCCGAGCCGAAGCCCCCTTCACGTGCGCCACATGCGGGGACGAGTTTAGCCGCTCTCACGCCTTGCAGCAACACCTGAGGGTGCACGCCGGGCAGCGGGCGTTCGGAGAGATGAGCTTCACCCGGGCCGAGGCGGTGTCCTCGCGGGAGCAGTGCAACCGGGGCGAGAGGCTGGCCGTCTGTGATGTCTGCGGCAAGGGCTTCACCGTGGCGGCGCTGCTGGCACGGCACCAGGTCTCGCACACCGGCCGCCAGCCCCACGAGTGCGGGCTCTGCGGCAAGACCTTTGCCCTGGCCGAGAACTGCGGCCGCCACCGGCGCCTCCACCTGGCCGAGACCCAGAGCTACCGCTGTGACGCCTGCTCTGCCTGCTTCCCTCAGGCCCAGCAGCTGGTGTTGCACCAGCGCAGCCATGGGCCCCGCGAGTCCTTCGTCTGCCCGGCCTGTGGCAAGGGCTTCACCCAGCAGCTCTTCCTGCAGTGGCACATGCCCGTCCACGCCGTCTCCGCCATGGGGGCCTCCGCCGTGGGGCCCTCCGCCTCTGGACCGAAACACTCCTCCTCCACTGTGGGGCCCTCCGCCTCTGGACCGAAACACTCCTCCGCCGTGGGGCCCTCCACCTCTGGACAGAAACACTCCTCCTCCGTCGCGGGGCCGTCCGCCTCTGGACCGAAACACTCCTCCTCTGCCGTGGGGCCCTCCGCCTCTGGACCAAAACACTCCTCCTCCACCGTGGGGCTCTCCGCCTCTGGACCAAAACACTCCTCCTCCGCCGTGGGGCCCTCCGCCTCTGGACCGAAACACTGCTCCTCCGCCGTGGGGCCCTCCGCCTCTGGACCGAAACACTCCTCCTCCGCCGCGGGGCCCTCCGCCACCGGACCAACACATTCCTGCGCCGTGGGGGTCTCCAACTCCTCCGTCCCTGCACCGACACATTCCCCCACCGCGGTGGTTTCCAACTGCTCCGTCTCTGGACCATCACACTGCTCCGCCGTGAGGCTGTCAAACTCCTCCGTCTCTGGACTGACATACACCTCCGCCGTGGGGCTCTCTGACTCCTCTGCCACTGGGTGGTCCTTGGCTCTGAACCCCGCAACAAGATTAGGCTCTGCCTCCTCTGCCATGGGACTCTGCTCCTCCTCGTCCTCCACTGTGGGGCCCCCTACCGCCCTGGGCCCGTACCCCACTGCGGGCTCATCCCCCAGCTCCACTGCGGGGCCAAACTCCGCCGTGGGGCCCACCTCCGCCATGGGACCAAACTCCACCACGGGGCCCACCTCCGCCATGGGACCGAACTCCACCGCGGGGTCGAACTCCACCGCGGGGCCCACCTCCGCCATGGGGCCCACCTCCACCATGGAGCCCTCGTGCCCCAGGACAGAGCGGCGCCTGACTTGTGGCGTGTGCGGAGACCCCCTCGGCCGGTCCCAGACCGTGGAGCAGCCCGGGCGGGTCTACCGAGGGCAGCGGGTTGCCCCACGGTTTGGGCCCTGCTCATCGGCCCGGGAGACCCCCCGGGGAGGGGTGAACACCTGCCCAGCATGCACCAAGGCCTTCGCCCGGCCCCACTACCTGCGCTGCCATGTGAGGGCGCGCCGGCCCCCAGCCATCCCTGACAGAGCCCACCACTGCGAAGGAGCCAACTCCTTCATCTGCGACTCCTGTGGGGGCAGCTTCCGGCTCTGGGAGAACTTCCAGAGGCACCGGAAACTTCACCAGCAAAGGGAGACCAGTCCCATCACCGCCATCATCCAGGCTGCTCCCAGCAACTGAGGCAACGGCAGAGAGAGGAGGAGCGGGGAGGGAGACAGACACGGAGAGGAAGAGAGAGAGAGTGAGAGAGACGGAGGCAGAGGAGAGAGGGACAGAGAGAGTGGAAGTAGGAGCATGGTGGGGGGGAGAGAGAGAGAGCGACTGGGGATAGAAAGAGACTGGGGTCAGATTGGCAGAAATTGGTTTAGAGTGAGAGAGAGAGATTGGGGACAGTGAGAAAGGGACTGGGGACAGTCTGTGAGAGAGAGAGACTGGGGACAGTGAGAGAGGGACTGGGGACGATCTG